CAAAAGAGGGATAACGTTTCTGTCCATCCGGAGTCCGAACAAAAGAGCCCCGCACTAACCGGTCTTCCCGTCGGACAATCAACCCTGCCGCGATCGAATCGGACACCTAGCCCCGGTAATCCTTCGGGATCGATCATCATTGCTCGAGCGGAATGGATACGTCGGCGGTGCCGGTTGCCGGGCGGCGTGGATTGAAATTGGAGTCAGACCGTCGACAAAAGTTAACCCTTCGCCCTACGACCACGTCTGAGAGACGTGTATCAGATGATCGGGCTAGAAGTGATTATCGCGTCTGAGGGACGTGGTAAAAAAATCGGGCTAAAAGTGATTATCGCGTCTGAGAGACGTGGTCGAAAAATCGGGCTAGAAGTGAATGCCACGTCTGAGAGACGTGGTCGAAAAATCGGGCCAGGAATTAGAGCCTTGGCGCGTCAGTCGGGGCCAGAAGTGATTATCATATCTGAGAAAAGTGCTAAAAAAATCGGGCTAGAAGTGATTGCCACGTCTGAGAGACGTGGTCGAAAAATCGGGCTAGAAGTGAATGCCACGTCTGAGAGACGTGGTCGAAAAATCGGGCCAGGAATTAGAGCCTTGGCGCGTCAGTCGGGGCCAGAAGTGATTATCATATCTGAGAAAAGTGCTAAAAAAATCGGGCTAGAAGTGATTGCCACGTCTGAGAGACGTGGTCGAAAAATCGGGCCAGGAATAAGAGCCTTGGCGCGTCAGTAAAAATATAAGGGCCAAATATAAACATAACTAATTAGGCTCGTGTTAAACCAGGGGATACGTGTTTTATGGTCATTTGTTTTTCGTCAATTAATTGTTTTATTAGCAACTAAAGAAGATGGCGCAGGAACCAGCTTCACTCATGCTGCGATTTTCGCGATCTTTAATTGTTCGCTCGTACGAAGGTCAACCGATCTCGGTGAAATTTTTACAATACAACTCACCGAGATTAACAAAACAAATGTTCCAAATTTTCATTCTAGGCTCAGTTAAAAAATTAAAAAAACAAGAGTGCTTTTCTGTTATCATTCTAAGCAACAGCATCCTTCAAAAAAAAAAGCATTATGCTCTAGTAGACTGTTCGCTCTACCATCTAAACAAAATTCGAGTCGTTTAGTCCAGTTCCAAAAAAGTTTCCGCGTTTTAAAAGAAGTCGAACATTATTAACAGAATATTAACAAAAATCGCTGTATTTACAATCCGTAAGGAATTCGCGGTTGACATAACATCAAACGTTCCGCGCATCCGTGAAAGGGCTCGGCGCGATCTTGTTGTTTGCTTGCCGACGTTCTTGAAACTTAAAACGCGGGGCAAAGGGTTAACCCATGGAACACGGGAAGGAAAACGGATCCGGCGATGCTCGCGATTTATTTACACCGTGCGCCGTTATCGGTTTCTTCCTGAGACACGTAACCAACCGATTCGGAAGCTAGTTTACCGTTACACGGTCCCCTTCACCGTCGAAGCCGTCGACCGGAGGCGACGCGTCCAACCTCGTTCCCGTGGTTGGATCCGATTTCACGTTCGAGCGGATCGGCAGTGATCGACCGTCGGAAATCCCATACGTTCCCGCGAGGATCCTCTTCGGCGGCCGATCTCTTCCTCGTCTGCAACCCGACCGGCTCGCCCGGCCTCGGACGATACGACTGTGGGCCAGCTGCCGCCGTCGCGTCGCGCCGCGTCGCGACGCCTCGTCGCTGTAACAATGACCCCGGCCCGAGGAGCCCGGCCGCGTTATTCAACCGGCAAGGGGGGTGAGGAGTGCTCGAACCTCGAGGCGCGAGCGTGTCAAGGTCGCGTCTTAACGCGAACTGATTTAACACTATGCCGTCCGCAGATCTTAGATACGATTCTTTCGTTTGACGCCCGGCATAAGAGCTTGGAAATTTTAGATTTGAAAAAGAATTTCGAAGATGGCGGTAATATAAATTCCTAAAATTAAGATATGCCATCCAAGAATTTTCGTACTTAATTCTTGGTTAAATAAGCACAATGCTATAGTTAGTTTGCTGCCTTTTAACACCCAAGAAATATAGTTCAAATGTTATTTCAGTTTTTTTTTTAAATGGCACCAAAGTGGTACCACCGGCGTACAACAGATAGTTTTTGCATGGCACCAGCGTGGTGCCACCAGACGACATAGTGTTAACACTAAACCTACCAGCAGTAATACTAATAGGGCATGTACTGCTTCACAAAAGTGAGAAGACCGAATTTATTTGGAATTTGTAAAGTTTTCATTATAAAACTTGCTCCAATAATATAACTTATTCAAGCGTTTCCCACGAAAGAGTCTCGGAGCTTTGCAGAATTGCAAAATAAGAAAGCGGTCACTTTGACCGCGGTAGGTTTAGTGTTAATGGCCGATCGTTTCGCCGCGGGCCGGGCCGGGCCGGAACGAAAGAAATCGCAGAAATGGCAGCTGGAGAAGGGGTAGGGGCGAGCTGCGATTGGGGACACGGGGGTTCCCGCCACGGGGCACGTTGTTAGCCAGAGAGCTGGAACTAATTTTCTGAACACGCCATTAGGTCTTTTTTTTCGTCCCGGGAGGTTTAGGGAGGATCTGTGAAAATTCGTTAAAATACTGTATCTCAGTGAACTCTTTGACGATAGATTTACGCGGCTCTGTGGGGCAGCTGTTCTCTATTAGTTTATAAAAGTAACGATATGTTTAGTCGACTGTTACATATTTGTAAGAGATATTTATTGTAATTTGGAGGAGTATTGTTGTAATATTTGCCGCAAGTAGCGCGTATATTGAAGAAATAATTCTGAAAAATATCTTCACAGTCTGAATAATTGTAAATTAAAATATTAGTAAAATCAGCGTTGTTCGCTGGTTTGTTAAACTATTTTTTATGCAATTCGCGGTTAGGTCAACTGTTCCCATGCTAATTAAACAAATCACGTGCTTTCGTGTGTATCAATTAAATCGATTCGACTTGAAATAGCGTAAATTACATTTTTCTTGTTTATTATTAATATTATTATTATTAGTAGTAGTAGTATTAGCATTAGTTATTATTAGTATCCATCGCGTGTATCGTTCGCTGACCAAATTTACGATCAATCTAATTTAAAATAAATTTAAAGTCCACAGTAATTTTTTACATCTTATATCACTCGTCTTTTCAACGTCTTCGCGCGCGCGCGCAGGTTGCATTTCGAGGCACGAGTCACAATATTCGAAAACGTCGCTCACGCCGCTACGACTCCAACTCACTCTCGATTACTCGAAACGAATCGACAACTTTCTTATCGATGCTTACCACCGAAAGATCGTTATTTTCAGAGGCAATTGTTGTCGTCGCGCAACGTGGCGCGCTCATGCCTGGCCGCCCAAGGGTCGTCGAACAATCTTACGCGAAATCAACGCAATTTTACGACGACATCGCAATAACCACCCCCTGAACTAAAGGGGCTGATTCTCGAGAGAAAACCCGCGGAGAAGAAGAAGAACACGCTATTCCGGCGATCTTAATCACCGACTCGTTGCCGGGGCGAGTTCTACCCCGCCGCCCCCCGGTAATCGAATCGTCGTCGGAGTTCCTGCGGCAAAGTCCATTACAACAATAACAAACTCTCGCGACGCGATCAAAGCTCGCGTAGAGACGTTTAAGGGAGAGGGGTCGAGGGTCGCGGGAAACGGGCCGAAGAGCGAGCGAGTCGTGTACCGTAGCCTCGTGGTCCGGGTTGGAAGGTTGCCCCGGAAGGTCTCGAGTTTTATTGCCTCCACCCCCGCGGCTCGCCGCGCGTCGGCGAGAAGAATAACTCGTAAATAAGACAATCGAGTGGAAGTCGGGCTGGCGGCGGGCCTAGCGAGCGAGCAGAGGCGAGCACGCGTCCGCGATCTGCACCGGAAGGAGGATCGGCATTCGCGGAAGAAGGCGCAGCCTCCGGCACCGGCTCGCACCGGCGGCTCTGCCACCACCACCACCACCACCACCATCGCGCCACCACCACTACCACCACGGCCGGCATCGCCACCATCACCGGCAACCACCGGCAACCACCACCGGCAGCAGCAGCATCGCCACCACCATCGCCACCACTACCAGCACCGGCAGCATCGCCTCTGCCGCCGCCAGCATCGCCACCACCGTTCCGACAACGGCGTCGCCACCACCACCCCCGACGACAAGGGGATGAAGAAGAGCGACGGTATCGAAGTGAGACGTGTATATATGTATATATAGAGGTGCGCGCACGTCGGCAAGTTCAGTCGTCTACCGCGTGCCGAGCCGCGAGCATCGTGCAGCCGCCAACCCTCCAGCTGCGAACAGCCGCCCCCCTCTCCAGAGCCGTTGTTTCCTTCCTCTATATCTCTCTCCCTCTCTCTCTCTTTCTCTCTCTCTTTCTCTCTCTCTTTCTCTCTCTCTTTCTCTCTCTCTCTCTCTCTCTCTCTCTCTCTCTCTCTCTCTCTCTCTCTCTCTCTCTCTCTCTCTCTCTCTCTCTCT